CATGGAATTCAATATGAACTCTAGTGTGAAGTATATAGGGGTCATTAAAACACATGTACATATAGTGATAATAATGTATTTTTGTATGCTGCATGATATCTTATAATAATAAGTGCAGATAAATACTTGTATATTCAAAATTAATAATAAAAAAAAATATATCAAACTAATGGTTTTTACTTAAAAAAATGAAAATTGATGAAAGTTGCTTTTGAGAAACAAAACACTGTCATTAATTCTGCCTTAAGTAAAGCATTTTTATTCTTTTGAAATAACTTTTATGAGACATTATTAATAATTTTTCATTCAAATAAAAAGTCACACTCTTTACACAAATCCATGAAATCTAAATTGAAATTGAAGTCTTTTTTTTTTTAATGAATAATGATTAAGAACCATGCTTGAACAACCTAATTATATAATATTATAAGCCCTCAGAATGTCAAAAAGAGTTGAATTTATCCGATTAAAATTTTATCCCTTCATTGCACTTTTAGTTATTCTTTATTAAATCACCCGCTATGATCTGATAGGCATTCCTATTTATTATCTAATCCCTTCTTTGTTACTGTCATATACTGAGATTTGTAGGTTCAAGTCCCACCACACTTATACATAAAATGATGATCTAGAATAGTGAATAGTAAACTAGGGATCCCCATTGTCTTATTAGCTACTAGTATCTATATTATACCATTCTGTGAATTTGTGTGGCTGCATGCACCTCTTTCATTTACAGAGTTTAATTTACATAGATCTTCTTTACTTTCTTTCATACAATGTTGCTAATGTTGACTGTTCTTAACAATAGTATACGAAACATTAAAAAATCAAACATAGGATGGAGGAAACAATTATATTTTTTTCCAAAGATATTAGAGTCTGGAATGTGCCTTATGAAACATCATTGAAGAATTCAGATGAGACTTTAAATCAGTGAACATTCCTATGCATTTCTCTTTTTAGCTCACCTGAGTGAGCTTTTCTGATCACATTTTGTCCGTCGTCCGTCCGTCTGTCTGTCTGTCCGTCTGTAAACTTTTCACATTTTCGACTTCTCAAGAACCACTGGGCCAAATTCAACCAAACTTGCCACAAAGTATCCTTGGGTAAAGGGAATTTAAGTTTGTTCAAATGAAGGGCCACACCCTCTTGCAAGGGGAGATAATTAGGAACTAGTGAAAAAATAATGGCATCATTTAAAAATCTTCTTCTCAAGAACCACTTGGCCAGGAAAGATGAAACTTGTGTGGAAACATCCTCAGGTAGTGTAGATTCAAGTTTGTTCAAATCATGACCCCCGGGGGTAGGGGGGGGGGGACACAATGAGGGATCAAAGTTTTACATAGAAATATATAGGAAAAATATCTTTAAAATTTGATCTTCTTCTTAAGAACAGCAAAGCCATGATTGGTCATATTTATATAGAAACATCCTCAGGTAATGTAGATTTCAAATTTGTTCAAATCATGACCCCCGGGGGTAGGATGGGGACACAATGAGGGATCAAAGTTTTACATAGAAATATATAGGAAAATATCTTTAAAAATCTTCTTCTCAAGAACAGCAAAGCCATGATTGGTCATATTTATATGGAAGCATCCTCAGGTAGTGTAGATTCAAGTTTGTTCAAATCATGACCCCCAGGGGTAGGATGGGGCCACAATGGGTGATCAAAGTTTACAGAGGAATATATAGGAAAAAATCTTTTTCTCAAGAACAGAAAAGCCATGATTACCGTAGTAAAATTGATATGGAGGCATCCTTGGGTAGTGTAGAATGAAATTTGTTCAAATGAGGGACCCCAGGGGTAGGGTGGGGCCACAATGGGGGATCAAATTTTTACAAATGAATATATGGGAAAAAATCTGCTGCTCAAGAACAGCAATACCATTTGTTATATTGATATGAAAGCATCATCAGGTAGTTTGAAATTCAACCCCCCCTTTAACTTTTCATTACTAAACTGATCTTTGCTCTTTTTTTCCCTAGCCAATTTGCTCAGATGAGCGATGTGGCCCATGGGCTTCTTGTTTTAAATTTGCTTAGATCTACCCAGTGGAGGAAGAGATGAATTTATACTGAAATATGTATACAATTCATGAAATATTTAATACACTCAGACAGATTTGCCCAGTCAGTTAATATCACTTATGAAACATTATTGTTTAATATATATAACAAATTAACAATGGAGAAATTGCATGGCTGGACCAGGAATCGAACCAAGGACACCTGTCTAAATACTAGTCAGGTGCACTAATACGTGTACACTACCCACAGCACAACAAATGTTAAGGTTAATGTGCACTAGCTTTAAAAAGTATTTTTCAAAATCTTCTGTATGTTGTGTGTATTAAGGAAACAATATAAAAAAAATGCATAAATGTCCTTTCCTACTTTTAAATAAGATGAAATATAACATTCTGTTTTTATCAAGAAATATTCAATGGTTTAAAGTGCAAGGATACCATATAACATTATTTGTGCAGTTTTATCTATTGCAAATTAAGTTTTCCATAACTCTAATTTTTCAAAACCTGAGTCTATCTCTGAGGACGATTTTCGAGGACGATATCATAATTCCATCATATAGGTCCCTGCTGGTAGAGCATAAGCAAACGATAATGACATTCGACAAGAGAACCATTTATTTGTTACTCTGTATTTCTTCAACTTAAAGAGACAAAAAACCGACCCGTTTGTCGAAGTCTTTTTGTTATCTTAATTCTCCTCGAGTCAACCCTCTCATGTCATCTTTGACTTTGTCAACTTTCGGTTTGTCAAAATGGTAAACAAAGCATCCAAAATTCAACTCTCCTTCGGTCATGCATTCCGGGAATTACCGTACAGCGTAGTTTTCTGCCTTTTTTCGAAAACGAATTTACCCTTCTTATCACGTAAGTGATATTGACGTCTGTCATTTTGATATAATAAGCGTCGGGCACGGGCTGACGTAATAACGTCACTGACGTGAATAACGTCCTACAGCGTTATTTCACGTGGTATGGATCATTACCTTAACATAGGAATATCTAGGTCAAGTTCTGTTCTGGATAGGAGAGAGCAATTTTTGACAGAGTTATGCCCCTTGGGCTTAGGAAAATTCCACTTGTTTGCAGTTTCTGTTCATTTTTTTCGCTGAGGTTGCACACACTTAAATGAAAGTTGGTATACAGATTTATCATAAAAATATCTAGGTCAAGTTTTGTTTTGAGTACAGTAAGTTGACAATCCTATCCTATCCTATCGTGAATCCTGCATCCACAATCCTATCCTGTGATTTCAGTCTAATCCTATCCTATCCTATCCTGCTACTTTCAGTTTTTTAATATTTAGGAGTTAATTTGACAAAACGAAAAAAATAATAATAAAATGACCATCATATATAAGTCAGTTATAATTATGGGTTTTATTTAATATGTTTTAATGATAAAAAATAATCGAGATCGACATCCATTAATTCCCGACACCCCGCACGAATTAATTTTCGAGTACCCAGTTAAAATGTAAACAGAGGGACTGTAATAAAACATAAGCAAGTACTGATCTAGCGAACGTGTCAAGAAAGTAAGCTTTCAAAATAATTATAGAAAAAAATTATAATCCGACTTTATTTTGATTTAATTTCACATACTAACGATGATCGAGAGACGTCACGGTATTTGCGATTTCTTTTCGAATTTATACACTTTGATAAATAAATGGGGTTAAAGTTAGAGAGGGGAAATCGTGGAAAAAGGGGGGGGGGGCAACAACTCAGACTTCAGATACTTTTGTTATGTTATGATTATTAATAGGTAGACTAAACGAACAAAATTTAAGCTCTTAAATTATGAGAATCAGACTATTAATGTCTATACCTTCATGCGGGGAAGGTACAACACTGTATAATAACCGTACCGTTGAAAATACAATTTCTCTACACATACTGAATAATAAAAAGGAGGATATGTTGGATGTTTTAACAGTTATATGTTTCATGTAAAATTTATGCAAAACTCTATTTTTCCCTAAAATGTTAACTGAGCACCATGAAAAATAATACATGTATATATACCTAACTTAGATTTTATTCATACTCATGTAAATCCAGAAAGAAGATACATGTATGACAAGACCATAAACCGAGAACTGATATTTAGAATATCTTGACTTTTATTTATTAAACATGTAAAAAATTATTTAAATGTATTCTTGTTTGAGATGTTCAGTTCCTCATTGTTTGAATTTGGATATTTTACAAACATGCAAAAACTTTATCATGTTTGCTGAATAAAAAATCAAGATATTCAAAATGTTAAATTTTCTTATTTCACTTCACATTGTTTTTAATTTATGGTCAGTTCAGTGTCATACAAATGTATTTCAATAACTATATTTTTATGAGTGAGAATTTAATTTATGTTTCACAGAAAACATTTTCATAAATCTTCATAGTCAGATAGATTGACAGCAATAATTATTGCAGTGAACACACACATATTCCTTCGAATTCTTTCTTATAAAACATGTATATGAATTCACAGTAGTTTCAGTATTTATAAACCATATTTAAGTAAATTTTGTTTTTGACCTTGACATTTGATCTTGAATGTTATTCATTGTCTAAATGAGGAACAAAAATGCTTGACCAAGTTTACAATATTTATTCAAGGTAATTGCCTCTTCAGTGTTAAATATATATATTTTGGGCCAAATAAATATTATCTACAATCTACAATTTTATTTTTTTTATCTACAATGTATAACAATTGAAGGTTCCATTATGAGACAAATTCATCAGACGTATACATGTATTTCAATTAATGCCAAGCTCCCAGATATATGTACATGAAATCTGTTTAAATTTAAGTTTATCAATGTCTTTTTCCAATTGTATGATGTTTTACGTGCATATGATGTCGACTGCTTGTCCGTCGCTCAAATTGAATTTCAAATGTCAAAGTTTGTGTCAAAGAGCTAGTCATGAGTAACTGAACAGTTTCAAAATTGTCAACAATGCACAGAAAACAAATACTTCACACACCGATCTCCTTAATGAAAAACATCATGATTTCAGACTCTAGGGGGCTCTTGTACAGTGGTTTGAACATCTTTCATATTTATTCCAGCAGCAGATGAGATGAAGTGCAATATGTACAGCAGCAAATATGCAGGATAGTCCTTAAAAAAACAATTATTATCATGATTATAACAATATATGCATGTAGATTGTGCAATTTTGTCATATACATTATACATTAAAACTGTATTTTATTGTGATTATCTTTCTCATTTCATGTACGACTGGCTGAATTTTACCTTTTTTTCTCTCCCAGAGTAATGCATTTAAAGAAATCAAGCAAACTCAAATCTTATACTGCAACTTCATAGTCAAATCTTAATTAAACAATCATAATTTACTTGTAAATTGTAATTCATTTCATCTCGTCAACTTGTTAACTAGCATGAATATATTTGTTTGTTTTTTTTTCTCTATTTTGAATTTTTCTGCTTGTATTAATCTATTTGTTTTTTGTTTGTTTTCTTCTTTGCTTAAAATTTGAATATTAAGAAAAAATTATGAAAATACATATAATAATTAACTTGATGATGACATGATGACCAGAACAATAACACATTGTTTTCAGTTTTACTCTTTTTTTAAAAAAAAAAAAAGAAGAAAGATCATTTATTCAGAGAATCTACAGAAACTTCATCTCAACTCAGATAATGATATGTGTGTATTATACTGATACCCATGCATAAAGCACATGTTAATAATTATACCTACTTTTTAAATGTAAAATCCTTTTTTCCTCACAAAATATTTTGATGAGGGCAGGCAAAACCAAGTATCATTCTCTGCAATGAAGAATAATGAATGATTAATTTATAATTCATAACCCAGAATAGGTCATACATACAATGTACATGTAAGTGCTGAGTTGGCTTATAATACAATTTAAACAGTAGCATAAGAAATGATTCTGTCTTTATTTTATTATAATTACACTCAAATAAAAAAAAAATTTAAAACCACAGTAGGGAAATAATATAGTAAAAACAAACTGAAAAAGGCATAACACATCTTATTGTTTAGAACACATTGAATCATGACAGAGTATTTGTAAATTTTTAACCCCCTCCCCTTCCTACACTACCTTTTTCTCCACACCCGATTTTTGTCTATATTATAATAGAATAAAATTTTAATAGCTCAAGTCATTATAACATTGTTCAAACGGGATAATGTATAAAAGTGCACACATGTACAGTGTGTAGTATACTTACATGTTCTGGCTCCAAACAACTGCGATATCGATCTGTTCAAGTCCGCTGTTGGCAGTTTGTGTAGAATTATCCAGACAAACAGAGCACATATAACACAGTTACATGTTATTGAACTTTAAAACAACTAGGAATTGGCTTAATCATCCAAACATGCTGAAGTAAATAAGATCTCTTGATGTCCGAACTCTTCGTTGTTTACATCCAAAGATTCTTCCGGTGATCGTTCACGGTTAAATCGTACGCAATGTCACTCGAAGTCAATTATTAATTTGTGTTAAAATAAACAAAATATGTTTATTTTCTATCGTAATTTTTGACAGAGTTATGCCCCTTGGACTTATAAAAATTCCATTTTTTGGGGGGGGGGGGGGGGCTTAAGTGTTTCACAAACATATCTTGTTTTTAGGTGTTTGTTCTCGAGGGTACACTAATATTTAGGTTCTCTTATTTGATATCTGTGTACGGTCATACTATGCCTCAATGTGTCTCCTGTCTGGCCGATGAATTTTTAGTGCAACCGGCGCAGGTTATGACGTAAATATGATTGGAACTTGAACAAGGCATTTGATGTTTAAACTGTAAATTCCCCTCCGGTTTATGAGATGAAATTAATTTCTTATAGGCATGTACTGCGTTTAGGTTTGTTGCATTTATTTAATTATGACTGGTGGACTCCTTGTTGATACTGGTTAAAGATGCTTTTGACATGTATGTACCAAAACCATTCTTATATTCTGCCCAATTCCTGTCAAAGGTCAAGGATGCATTTGTCAGTGTACATATAAATCAATAAATTGTTATTGTGTTAAACATTTTCATGATCCGTATATTATGTATCATACAAATCCACTGGAATACAAAATCATGGATACAACAGTTTCCAAATAAACTAGATTCCGTCCATTGTTTCTATATCACAGTAAACTCTGACAGGACGTGAACTGGTACAAGTGTGCTAAATTTCGTATAACCCGGGATTAATGTGACTATTTTTATGAATATCATTACAATCTTAAGTTAGAGCTGAAATGTAAATGGTAAAGATAACGAACAGTGATCGATGTTTGAAAAATCAAACCTACAAACAATTCAAATCTGTGAACAGGACATAAAACACGGACCCCCGGTGGGATCGGGTGCCTAGGAGGAATAAGCATCCCTGTTGTCTGTTCACACGCGCTGTGAGCGTTATGCATTGATCAGGTGGTAAACAGATTATAAATTATTCCTATGTTTATAATATGGGAGAAATCAAACAAAAATAGTCTTATTTAGGTAAGGCTTTATTTCTCTAAACAATCATATAGTATGAATATTCATAAAAAGATTCATATGCAGGGCTCTATTTAAGGAATCACTGTCTAGTTAGTAGAGTATACCAGGGCATCAACGATAGTTGGAAACGTGGAATAATTTGCACAACGGGCGAAGCCCGTTATGCATAAATTATCCCACGTTTCCAACAATCGTTTATGTCCCTGGTATACTCTACTAACTAGACAGTGATTCCTTATATTTCCATTTGATTGTGAAATAAAATTATAAATTTAAAGATTTAAATTACACGAGGCCTCACATGTCAATTTCAATAGTCCCCGCCCACTGACGTCAAACACAAAGACAGCCGCACGAGAATTACATGCATATTAGTCGTCCTTAGCGTCAGACACAAAGACAACCGCACGAGAATTACATGCATATTAGGCCTTCTTAGCTCCTGACCGTTCTCTTGGCGGAATTTACATTCCGGTAGAAGGATCAAGAAATCAACTCGACTAACTTTCAAAGAGTTATCACAGAGAAAACAAATAAAAATGGAAATATTTGGCGACTAATTTAGTCGCCATGGCGCCTAAAAATTATGATTGGCGCCTAAAAGTTTTCTATAAGTCGTCAAATCGACGACCATTATAAATTTACTTGGTGTTCGTCAAATTACTGAACTATAAACATTTTTAATTTTTTCTTTATAAAGATCAGAAAAGAAGTTTAAAATTTAGCAATTGACATGTCTCTCTATATTGACTAATATCATTTTTTGAATTGGTGCCTAAGAAAAATTTACCTGGCAACTAAAAAATGTGCATTGGCGAGTAAATTTTTTTTATGAGGAGCCAGTTTTCGCCTAAATTTTAGAAGTCACATAGAGGCCTGATATGACTTAAAAGAAATAATATGCATAAATTATTGTTATGTTTATAATATTAAAGAAATACATTTTATATTAGCTTTCTGGCAAATGAAAAGAAAATTGTAATTTCATGTGGGTTTCTTAGAATTTAGGAACTTTAGAAGTCGCCCTTTCAGATTTTTCTTCTTCCTTTTTATACGCACGTCTTTAGACGGGACTACAAAAAGTAGGTCGCTGTGACCTTTAATTAAGATGATATGGCCAAACATGGAAAAATCCTGTCCGGCTCATAACTAGAAAACTATTGGACTTTGAATCATCAAACTTGGCCAATTTATGCATCTTAGGTAGAAGGTGTGTCGCAACCTATTTCAAGGTCACTGTGTCCTTTAAATTAAGTGAAATTTAAAAAACAACTTTTTTTACTATTAGATTACACAATCCCTAAAAATGCAAGAGTGTTGCAGTATCATTATTAAAAAATGTTACATCAAGAAAATACTTATTTTTTCATTATACACTTTACAGCAATCTGTAACAAATGTAATGTTACAAGAGAAATTCCACCTCTCCCATGGGTGTAATTATCAAGCACTAATCAAGGAGAATTTGATAGCAGAAAATTGCATGTCAGATTAGAGAGAAATTAATGAGTTAAGTGTGAGGAGCTAACTGTTAGAGCATCTCTGATTAAGCAGTCGTTATCTATATATCTTGGGAACTGGGCAAAAAGAATCAGCCGTGAAGGATTAAATAGTTGGCTAGCCTAACTTTTAAAATGAATTTGGTGAAAAGTAATTAAAACTTATTTGATATTGTTTAATAAATTAATTTGATATTGCATAATAAACTAATTTGATATTGTATAATATAATTAAAACTAATAGCACTCGGGGAAGGGGGGGGGGGGGTGATATTGGAATCAGCATGTCCGTTGTCCGTATGAATTGCAGCTTAAAGCCAGTTCGACATTAAATAAAAAAAAAATCAAGTATTTCAAAAAATGTTTTAATTATGGTAGATAGTCCCTACAAATCTAAGAGTAATGCAGGAACCTTATTAAAAATGTTGCATCAAGATTATACAGTTTTTTTCTTTGTATAAATCTTTATAACAAAAAAAATCTTTGTTTTTAAGGAGGGATTCTTCTCTTATTCTACTCATATTTCTTGTATTTAAAAATTAATGAAATTTCCATAGATTCAAGAAGACAATATCACTAAGTGATAGTATCAATTAGATTAAATTTGACCGTTTTATTTTAGAAACAAGGTCAGGTCAAGGTCATTATCTTTTTCCCTGACATTTAGAGTAAAAAATTACTGATAATCATGTGATGCCTACTTCTGTTTTAAAAGATAAAATGTTTTTCTTTTTGCACAAAGAGATGTTACCATATCGGGTCTATCAGATGATGCTACCAAATTAATTGACATTATTTAACTTAGATATAGGCTAATCCGGATTTCCTCTGGTTTTCTTAATTCTTTAGGATATATTAGTTATTTTTATATACTTCTTATATTTAAATATTTCTTATTTTTACATATGGTAAAGTAGTCATATAAATAAACAAAATGATACAAAAACAAAAAGCTTTGACCGTTTAGTAAGAGAGAAAAAAACACTTTTTACTGATTTTTTGCTCAAATCTGTTTTAAGGTTGGAGGCTTTCAAAAGCTAACAAGATTGTAGTTTGTTTAGAAAATCATTTTTATTTGCTATGTTTTAAAACTTTAGGGCATTATTATTAATTTTAGTAACATATCAAAATTTCTTCAAGTCTTTGATTGTATAAAAAAATTAATTACATATTATGTTCCCGAAGTGATTTTGATAGGCAGAAAAGGAGATATTTTCATACGCCGCCAAAAATATACTCCCTTATGGATTTCAAACTCAGTTTACCATTTCTTTTTAAAATTGTACAATTATGATGAGTAAAGAAAAAATATGACCTTTTAAATACATTACAGCTAAGTTTATAAGACATACAAGCAAATATACTTGGAATATTTCGTGTAGTCAGAAACCAGAAAAGAATCCCTCCTTAAATTTAATTTCAGAATGACATAAATATGCATTTTTATTGCACTACAAAGCAGACAGTATGTATAGATCCACTCATCCATTGGGAGTAATGAGTGGAAATGCATCCAGTTAAAGATTAATTAATGAGTTCACTGTAAGAAGGCAAGCTGTCTTAATCATTTCTTTTAGAGGATCTCTGATCAAGCAGCTCTTATCTGTATCCTTTGGGAATTAGACATAAGAACTGCTTGTCAGTTTATAGCATATGTAATTTGATGGCCAGCCTTTTATTTTTAATATTAATTTGATATAGATTTAGTTGTTAAGACTAAATTGATGTTGTTTAATATGATATTTTTATTTATTTTTTTGAAAATATCAACTAATTCATAGCATCATGTCTCACAAATCTGAAAGCTGGGAGGGGGCTGCAGAAGGGCATTTGTCAAGCGCTGACAACCAGTTGAGGATCTATAATGTAATATTTGTTATAATTAATGCCTACACCACAGTTGTGTAAACAAATATAAGGAATGGAAAAATCATTGAAATCCTTGTATCAAGGTTGATATGATTTTCTTGCACTCTAAACTGAGAATTGAACAATATTTGACGGGCGTGACATGCTGTGGCGGGACACTTTTTTTCTCTCTCTCTCTCTCTGAAGATATTCAATCAAAAAATCCTATACTTCAGCTGAAGAACCAGTTTTTCGTTTTTTTTTTCCTCGCTCGGCTCTAGTTGATATGGGAACACTTTTTAATATATAGTTATTATATAACTACTTTTCTCTTGCTACTTGAACATGTTGAAGTGAAAGGTGTTTCTTAAGAATTAGTTCTTTCAGTTTCTCTATTTCACTGGTTGTATTTAAGCTTATAGATGTACCTGAAATTGCAACAGGCTCAATAGTTGGAATACCATCCAACATCCAAATTCTTCCAGTTCTTTCTGGTACGGGCAGGTTTTCTTGTCTGATCCGGACTTCAGGTTGTATTTGTTCTTTTTAGAGCTGATATCAATATTTCCCACTTCCCATTATTTGCTTCCAATTAACCTTAAAAACTTAATGAGGGGGATATTTTAGTCAACATTTCTTTTTTTAGTAATTTTTCCCATTTGGTTGTCCTCCAGTCTGTTTTTCATTTCACAAAATAAAAACCTAATTGCCTGTTCAATCTGAAACACAGGAATGTAAATTGCTTCAGGCTTTGGATGTTGTTTCAATGAAGGACAGGTAGAACTGGATGCAGGTTATACTTTCTGTACAACAAAATAAATATTGAGGTTTACATGTAATCTATACAGTTGTAATTTTTTGGCAAACACTACCTAAGGCCAAAATTAAAAATATGTTTGTTTGCCATTTACTGACCCAGACTTTTAGCAATCGGTAGGTGGGTAGGAAAAATATTTTATTTTTTTCTTCTTGACTTCAAATCAAATTACTATTATAATAAAAAAAAATCGAAATGTTCATGTACATATTCTTGGTTATTGGAAATTATGCTTCATGAAACAAAATGCACTGTTTAAAAAATCTGGTGTAATCTATTTGTCTTTGCATGTCAATCCTGCACCTGCTTAAAGCTCAATTTATGAAGTGTATGCACCTTCTGATTTTTAGCCACCCTCTGTAGTACGCTAGTTGGTTTATATCATAACTCCATGACTGGGCTCTAGGACAACATGCGTTTTGTCGGACCCAAGAACCAAACTAACAGCCTCAGGCAAACAGTTTGGTTCGAGGGGTTGTTCTCTCCGATTTGTTTTCCTGTTCCTCTATATTGTCTAAACGAACAATCTCTCTCTCTACTTTAAAACGTAAAGTGTATATATTTTAAGAGATTGTTAAAGTTTTTCACAGTACGCAACGGCTCTTGCAAGTCAGGCAGGAAGATATTTGGACTGTTAAGTTTTTCTGATAAACTGACGGTAACTTTGTCCGTTTTATGCACGTGGTAGTCGGAGCATTCATCAACAAGATCAAAATTTATCTCCTCGAACGTTGTTTCACCATAACACTCTACCAGTCTATTATTACAAATCTGTTTTGATATGCCTGCGCGTGTTACACTGACAGAAGCACATACTGTGAAACAATCATCATCCAAAGGTAGCCTGAAGGTAGACACTTTCCTTTTTACCGCCATGCTGTCATACTTTGATTCGGTTCCTAATCTAAATCATCAACACGCTTAATACCATCAAGGAAAAGGAAAATCAATGAATGACATCGCACACGTTTTTATGAAAAAAAAAAACAAAAACGGATGAAAACGGATAAGAAATGAATCAAATAAAAAATATCTATAATTTAAAAGTGGTATAAAATATTTTGAGTCGGGCTAATTTTCGTGGGTCGGTCGGCTGAGGGCAGACAAACAATATTTTGATTTAGGCCTAAATTGATTCTGAAATTGAATTTTTCATTTTGTAAAAGGAATAAAAAAAAACTATCAGTTTTAAATTGTTCTTGTAAAGTGAAAGACCTTTTACGTTAAACAAAGATATGCTAAATTACAACACCTAATGGCTGTATTATAAATGGCCGTTTTTAAAAAAAAATGTGTGCTTTGTATGAATAACATACAGACATTAGTTACTTGAAATTTGTAGAATCAGAACTAAGAGACTTCTTTTTTCCACAGCTCCGTACATCTATTATCGTTAAGGCAAAAAGTAGCTATAGGTTTGTGCGTTTATCCTCTCAGTTGGTTACTTCATGCAAAAAGTCGGACAATGTTAACAATATATATTTGCAGATGGTATACGCCGTTCAACAAAATTGTTTATACGCCACATTTGCTGAGCAATTTCCCTGAATTTCTAAAGCTAATAATCATTTACTTTCGCTCACTGCAGTTGAAAACGTTGCGCACTTATAATATGTTATTCCACCAGACGCCATTTTTGTCACGTGTCTCGGCTCACTAATCCAACCTTTACGCTAAAAGAGGCGGGAGAAAATCGGAAGATCTTCCATTTTATTGGAGCTTATTTGAACCATATTAACAAAATTCTTGATTGCGAATCATTCATATATAAAGTTTACATAATATAGATGTACCTTATATGTGACCGCGACTGGGAAAAAGGGGCCAGATGCGGCAAACGTCATAATGAGAAATTGGCTATCAAACTTACGTCATAATAACAAGCAAGGCACGCTAAAAACGTTAGACGCGTGTTTGTTTTGTTTTGTTTTTTCACTTATTTAATTGTTTTGTTTTTTTTTAATGTAATTTAATTATCAGCTATGTCGTCTGATCCAAAAGCTGTCAATGATATTTTTTTCTTTCGTTAGTTTTAAATTAAGCGCCAAAATATTGAAACGGAAGTTTCCGATTTACTCCCCTTCTTTTGTTTTCATTGGTGATCTAATATGGCGGTCAATCTAAAGCGAAAAGATGAGTCAGGAGACAAGAAGTACGTGTTCTATACCACAAGAAATTTTAGATAACCAAGATCTTAGTTTCATAGAATTAGACATTGTAGATGAATTGTATTTCAATGAAAATAATGTGATCGAAAACGAAAGCAGTTCTCAAGAAAACTTTGAATCTGATTCCGACAATGATGACGTGGACCTTGTAAATATTGAACCATCAGATGAGGACACACGGGACTATGTTGCCCAGGCCCGTTTTAGAAGTGATAAATATGGATGTAGGGAGTTCTATGGTGAACCATGCAGTGCAGTTATTGACGTGGAATCGGCAGTCGAATTCCGAGAACACTGTAAGGAAGTCAGCAAGGATGAACTTGATCTGATTATAAAAGCGGAACTTTTTTCCCATCGCCGTTCGGGTGTTCATACACTAGCAAAGAAACACCGAACAAAAGAAAGAGAACGGCCCTATCAAGAATTCTACTTCAAAGGAAAACGGGTATGTAGATTGACATTTTGTTTTATTCATGGTATAGAGAGGAAAAATTTGCAGTCCATCGCACACTCTCTTGATGTTGATGGACTGTCTCCTAGAGTTCATGGTGGGACTGGTAAAGCTTCAAAACATGCACTGAGCTACCAGGATTCAGTGAGGATCAAGACATTTTTGATGAAATTCGCCACGGACAATGCCCTAACTCTGCCAGGTAGACTTCCCAATTACAAGAATCATCAAGTTCTTTTGTTACCATCTGACAAATCTACTGTAGACATACACCAAGAATATGAAAGTCTTGCTAAAGAAATGAAATACAGAAGCATAAGTCTGCTAACATTTCAAAGACAATGGCAGGAACTGTGTCCAAATATAGTTATTACAAAACCTTGTACTGATTTGTGTCAGAAATGTCAGGAATTTGCAAATAGAACTTCGAAAAGTGGTAATCTCTCTGAGGAAGAGAAAGAGCAATTACTTTCAGAGTACAATAATCATGTTCAGCTTGCCAAAGAACAAAGGACTATTATCGTGAGCAGGTCAAACTAGCTAAACAGAATTTTCTGGAATTGCCAATTGCTCTTCAAGATTCAGGTAAGTTTTCAAAACAAATACATGTATTTGTAACCCATTAAAAATTATATGTAGAACATAATGTATACGTACATTAATGACACAGAAACACGTATAACATGTTTGACATTCTATGAAATTCTGATGGACTTCAATGCTCTAAATGTGATGAAGAGCTAAAGCAGGTAATTTGTAATAGTTATTTTAATAAAATGTTAAATCTCAGCTTTGTCAGACTGAAATTGTACCAGTCTTGTCGCTGATTTTTCTTTATATATATCAAAATCCTTTCAATTTTTTAATAGGTTACCCACCACACTCCTTGAATTATGCTCAGCAGGTCCATATTCCACACCATGCCCAACAAGTGGGACCAATCTACTTCAAAAGCCCTCGTAAATGCCATGTTTTTGGTATCTGCTCTGAAGGATGAGGTAATTTTCATCATAAAAACTGTCTTAAGGAATATTTTTCCTTTTGGTGATATTCATGATCTGTAAATCCTTTTTTTCACTTCATGTATTTTAACCCTTTTCATTTACATTTAAGGCATATAATATATTCAAGGAATATACTGAGTCTACCCTTTCATTATGCATGTGTTTTTTTTTTTTTTGGGGGGGGGGGTCCCTTTAATATAGCATTTACCATATAACATCTTTGATTTTAATTTATATGATTATAATTTTTAATATCTATATGATACATGAATTTAAAATGAGAACTCCACAGAGAGAAATTTTTGTTAAGTGATTGCTTTATCACCACTACATATTTATTTATTTGGATACCTGTTTGTTTATTTTTCATTCATGTACATGCTTATTTTACAGGAAAAAAAAAACTTTTATCTTATTGATGAAGCAGCTAATCCTGGGAAAGGAGCTAACAGTGTTACGAGCATGGTACATCATTACTTTGATAAGTTTGGGCATGGTGAAACAGATCTCAAAGTTCACTTTGATAACTGTACAGGACAAAATAAAAACAATGTTGTGTTATGGTATGGTCTTTGGAGAGTGTTGACAGGTAGGTTGATGCTGTTATTGTTATAATTTACGTAATATTGTGTACTACAGTACACCAGTTTATTAGTGTAATGAACACTTTACATGAATTCAATATATATCAACTACATCTCACGAAAGGAAAGAAATGTTTTCAACATGTTCTTCAGGGCTACACAGAACCATAGAACACTCGATGATGGTAGCTGGCCATACAAAATTTGAGCCAGACTGGCATTTTGTCGTTTGGAAGGTGCACTGGAGAAACGCCAATGCTGAAACAATATCACAGGTACTTTTATTTACAAGTACATGAAAAATACTATGATAATCTATTCATAATATATTTGTTTGATAAAGTTTTCTTTCTATGATTAAAAAATAAGAGATTTTATTTCATTTTTCTGGTGTCTTTTATAACATATTTTCCCTATGATTGTCTTTTAGGTAGCAGAATCCGTCAATACTTCCAGTAGAAGTGATCACAATATACCACAGGTTGTAGGCAATGGTGAAGATCCTGTCCTGTTCTATGAATGGAAGAATTATTTACAACAGTACTTTAAACCTCTGAAATACCTAACCCGCTACCACCATTTCTACATGGATTCTGAGAATCCAGGAATTATTAGATGTCGGGAAAATGCTTCCTCAGAGCCTGTTACTTTCATGTTACTGAAAAGCAAAAGTAAAGTTCCCATTCCAGGTGTTCTTCCTTCTCCATCAGCCATTAAAGGCCTTGAACCTGCTCGACAATGATATTTATTTGACCACATCAGAAAACACTGCTATTCAGAGACAGCAAAAGAATGTATATGTCCAAAACCTACTGTTCCCAAACAAGAAATAGACTTGACAGAATGCATTGAAGAATATAAACCAAAAGGTGGCAGAAAAAAGGCTTTACTAAATTAAGCTTGTAATTCACTAATTCGGAATTGTGTACATGTTTCAACATGTATGAACTGTTTCTAATTATGTGCAGTTTATTAAAACATGTTTGCCTTAATGCTTAAAGTTTATAGGAAATATTTACATGTTCTCTGGTTAATTCTGTACATGTGTTTTTTAAACGTGTTTCGTACATGTTTTAACAGTGTTTTATCAAAGCATTTACTTTTTTTTTTATATGTACAAAAGTTGTGATTGATTGTTTTACATATTATCTGGTCAAGTCAGGTTCTCTATATGTATGAATTGTGTCATACACATGTAAATAACATTGTTTTATCAGAGCATGTATGATTTGTTTAAAGTAAGGCAATTTGTGATTCACTGATGGTAAATTCCTTACATTGTGTAATTGTCAATTTACATGCTTTACCAAAAACGCATGCTTGAAGTGAGTTACAAAGTTACAATGTACAGCTGTAACATGAAAAGGTTTCTATTCATTTTACCTAGTAACATGTTCATAATTATCTGCCAATATGTAATTTATCCATATATGATAATTGGCTAATTGCCTTATGCTTTGCATAAGATTACTTAATTTCATTCTTTAGTATTAAAGTGGTGTTGTAGTTATGTACCACCACATCATCATCACTAAGTATATTATACATGTTGAGTGTACATGTACATGTTTATCTATGTTTTAGCATGTTCTTATGTGTACTATGCAATGTGATGGGCATTTTATTTCACAGGAAGTTTATTGTATGTTTAAGGAAGCTCCAAACACTGCACACTGAAGAGTACTAACTCCAGGGTAGTTTTATGCAGTTAGAGTGATCTGCCCTTAGATGCAAGATTAGAATAAACTAGAATCTACAGTGAAAGACACAATGTGTACTAGACAAAAGTATTCTAAACATTATATTAGACCAATATAAAGTAACTGAATAAATTATTTGTATGTATCTTCTCAATGTAAATAAATATATCAGTAATTTCTGTTCATTAAGAATTCATTGTCTTTGAACATTATATCCAGGGGAAATATGGTAGGTACCTTATAATGAAAATGAACTACATAAACTCAATATGCACACCTTTATATGACATACTTTTCTCCAAGTCCAAAAACAGTTTATGTTAGTGTTTAAAGCTTCCTTAAGAATTGAAGATTTATGAACACAGAATGTGTATGAAAATATGAAACTTTTATAAAAACCAAATGTATTTGAACTTGTAAATGTGATTATGTTAATGATAAGAAGTCTTCTTTATTTTGTTACCATGACAACAATGATTACAATTCTGTACACTTCTCGAATTCCTATTTCATTTCTATTTTGAAAAAAATATATTTAAGTCATTACTTTTCTTTGGTTTTAGACTGGACGTAATGTGTTTACATATCAAAGAAAAATGTGTGTTTTGAAACCTTAAAGTGCCTTTTCATAAAATAACTTAATAAAAGGTTAATGAACAAATCTGGTCATATCTTTAAAACGACTTAAGATATGACTCTGTTTTTTTTGACAAAATTTTATTTATATTATGAGAATTTAAAAAATGACAAAAACTCAAAATCTGATGTTTGCTCATCTGGCCCCTTTTTCCCAGTCGCGGTCACATATAGTCAAAGTCCTGCTGGGAAGACTTTATCGGTAAATGGCAGATCCTCCAGAATCTTCTCGTAATTAGTGGAATCCATTACACCTGTGAAGATACAAATGTGGGTCCTACCATGATATGAAACTCCTCCCCACATATCACCTATAATTAAAAGAAAAATCCAATTTATATTGAATATGCCTAGGGTTGTACTTATGTACAGTTCATTTTGCAATTTATTCTCTATATAAGCTTATTGAGTTCTAAAGCCGGAATTGTAATACTATCAAGGATTCTTGTAAAATAACACAATTCCTTGATATGTACATGTAACCAACTTCTTATAAAAGTTAAGCGAATCAGCACACTGTTAATTTCAACTCTTCCCCATTATATGAATGTATTGGTTTTGGCCTTTTTGATGTCTGGCGGCAATCTATTGTAGCGGAGCCGCTTTACTGAAATATAGTTATCCATTTGAACATCAATATAATTGAATATGAGTCGAAGTCTTCAAACTTCTCTTTACTTCTTAGGGCTTGACCACGAAAGTCAAGCCAAGAAGAGTTATAAATGAAAGTTATTCATAAAATTCATGTTGCCTTACCTGATGATTGATTGATTGTTTATTGTTTAACGCTGAGTCGGCAATATTTCAACCATATTACCGCGGATGATTGTTTACAAGTCCGGTTTTTGGTTTCTCTGGCGGCCCCCAGCGAGCCTACTCTTTTTCGAGAAACGATCTTTTACGTGCTAAGGGGGTTGTAATCCTTGACACGGGACACCATTCATGTCCCATCCGACGGACTGAAAATTACAACAAATATGTAAGCTGTTAAAAAATAAAGTGATCTATGTATTTCTCATAAAAATTGCTTAAATTATTTCTAAATTTTACTGTAAAAATCATGTAAATATTCAAAAATTGTATTAACATTTGTAAAAAGTTCACACGTCGTTGTAACATTACAAAAAAGTCTACTTCGAATAGGCGAGAAATCGGAACATTCTAAAAGAATATGATTTATAGTAAGCGTACAGTCACAGGATATACATTCTGGCAGAACTCTCGATTCAATAAGTACCGGATGACAGCACCGATAAAATAATGGACATTTAACAGTCTTTTAAAAATGTAGATCTATTTTTAAAAAGAGCATAATCACTGTACATCATTTTTTATTCGCGAGGACATTGTTTTCGCGTTATTACGCGGGACGGTCTGCTAGGAAAAATTTCATTCTCGTGTATATTTTATAAGCATAGATTATATACAACAATAACCAGAATTTTTGAAAATTTTGATTGATTGATTGTATGTTGTTTAACGTCCCTCTCGAGAATTTTTCACTCATATGGAGACGCCACCACTTGCCGGTGGAGAGCTGCAAATTTTGTCCTATGCTCGGCACTTAGGGCCATTCAGCAGTGAGGGATCTTTTTCGTGCCAGCACCTACTGCGACACGGGACCTCGGTTTATACGGTCTCATCCGAAGGACCGGGCTCCACGTCCCACAGTGGGATTCGAACCCGCGACGTAAGGATCAACTCCTTACTTCGCGACTCTAGAGCGGAGGCTCTAACCACTGCACAACGCGGGCGACTGAAAATTTTGATTCGCTTATAAATACCAAATACATATTGCGCGAAAATAAGGTGTTGCAAAATTTGGTAATCTACAGTAATACATAGTAATTGCCTATTCAACTTCCTCAGAGAAAAGTAACTACAGTACCGACCAGACACAACCTAACAGAAAGCGAACCCAGAGCGCACCCCGGGTTCGCTCTCTGGGTTCGCTTCGGGTTCGCTTGGGGTCCGCTAGTGCTGACCCCCAGCGAACCCGGAGCGCACCCGTAGCGAACCCGCAGCGAACCCAGAGCGGACCCAGAGCGAACGCCGAAAGCGAACCCCAAATTCAGTAGCGGTCCCAGAAAGCGAACGCGCGTTCGGTATTGCGTAACAGAGCTGTCAATCAGGATTATCGATTAACTCATCAGCGCTTCGACCAATCAACATACCGAACAGGTCTGTCAATCAGGATAAGTGATAAAATGCGTTGACCATCAGTGCATCGACCAGTCAACATGCCAGTTTATAATCTAAACATTGTACAAGCAAAGCGTGTGAATGTAGTCTAAAAATATCATTAATATGATTTTTAAACATGATTTAATATTTATATACTTTAATTCTCCAGACAACATGCAATATTTACACATCTATTTTCATTACTTTTTATTTTTAAAATCTATTGATACATTATATATTTTTATTTTCCAGGTAGCATGTTACATGTATAGTTAAATATTTATTTTCTTTATGTTTTTAAAATCCATTGATATATAAATATATATTGCGTAAATTTATCAGACAATAAGTACTTTCATTTATAATAGAAAAAAAGAAGATAATAATGGTTATAACATACGGTCTTCGATAAATTATAGAATTTTATTATCTCAAGATACAGTATACGAACATTAGTATAAGAACAGTTAGTATAAGAACATGTGCGTGCTTTAATTTAATTATTTTTTATTAATTATTTCAATTTACATGCACGTTTTAATTTATCCAGATCAACTTCGAAATTATCGATCTTAATAATTGATCATGAAAAAAAATTAAATGTACATTGTACAGAATAAATGTGCATTATGTCAATACGTAAATTGGAGAAAAAAATCTCATTTAACTACTATGATATTTTTTTAATTAATCTTTTACCAAAATTTAATAAATAGCTTGATTTAAATATTTGTATATAGGGAAATATTATTTTGTCAATTTTAATTATCCTACATGTAGACCTTACATTGTATGTTTTTGAATTTTTGTAACTACTTGCAAGTCAGTCAAAAAAAAAAAAAAAACAAACAAACAAACAAACAAACAAAAAACAAACAAACAAACAAAAAAACCAACAAAAAACAAAAAAAATAACGCAAAAATGCTTATCACTTTCCTTCGCGTCGAAATATATAATTATACAGGTTTACATGTTCACGAACCTCTTACATGTACTACATGTAATTTTCGAAATACTTTATATGAACATAAAAAAATACACTAGACGGGTACGTTTTGTACTTGTGCATGAAAAGTACACGTAATTCCAACATTAGTAAATTGAACTTGCAAAGATACCTTAATACGAAAACGTACATATATTTTTTCATTACATAGGTACCTGTATTTGAACTTTGTAATTCTCATAATTATTTAATTTCAACACTTTAATAATTGTAGTTTCAAAGTGAAGCCAAGGTCATCACGTATCGGTAATCATCCACCTGTTTCGAAAATATTGCGGGTATTAAGAGCAATTGCGGTGGGTTTTTTAATTGACACTTGCTAGCTGGATGTATACTGTCTCCACGGTCACGGTATACCTGAGTATATACTCCTTCTACATTCGATGCCCCTTAAGTTACATGTACCTCGTCTGGGCACGTTATC